AGATAGATAGATAGATAGATAGATAGATAGATAGATAGATAGATAGAAAACATAACATAAATTAAATCTGTCATATTTCTACCTCTCTGCATATAGTCTCAAACACAAGCAACGGTTGGCTCTGAAATATGTTAACACTGACACCAATTTTGCAATTTGAGCACTTTGCCAACTTTAAGTTATATAATAAATGTGGGCTTAAAGTGCACACACTCAGCTATAAGGGTGTTCACATCCAAATTAGACAGACTTCAGGAATTACAGCAGGTTGATATGTAGTATTATCTTTCTAATTACTTTAGATGCTCTTTGGGGGATTGAAATAACCATAAATGATATTAATCTTTTAATTCTTTGTTGAGAGTTGGCCTTGAAGACCCAAACCCTCAGAAGGTTACAAAAGCTTGGCTTTTCCTATCAGCTGGGATTTGCCGGTCCGTGCTGTTTGCTTCTTGTCCTTCCTAACCTGTATTCAAAGAGGGGAAAATGCTGCTTGGAATCAGATCATACATTCTTTAACTTTTAAATGTACTGAGGTCCTTTTGCTGTATCATTTGAGTCATTGTCCATTTGCACTGCGAAGTTCAATCTAATTAACTCCGCAGCATCCAGCTGAATCTGAGCAGTCAGAATATGGATCTGTTTATACGCCCATTCATCCAGCAACATGTCGGCTGTCACATGATGAATGGAGGACAATGCTTTGATTCATGAGCTGTTTTAGGCCTTCTCCTTACTTCCCGTCATTCTTGGTAAAGTGGATATTAGTTTACTCTAACGAGCGCCTGTCCAGAACCCGTCTGCCATTTTGATATTATCATTCACCAAGTCCGCAGGTATCTTCTGGCCTTTTATTAAGGTTTACGATTGGTTTGCACCTACACCGTTTCCCACTCCAGGAACTTAAAGATACGCTCTCCTAATAATAATATGTAAAGTTTTTCTTTTCAATGAAAAAAAAATCCTGAAATTATCCACTATTGTGAGTCTCCAAATCCTTCTAATATGAGCTGACACATTTATTGAGAGTGGACTGACACTCGTTGCCTTGTCTTAACACAGAGATCTTATGAGCTCATTTTCAGATTTAATAAAGATTGTGTCCAATTGCACAACACACAACTTGAACGAGCTCCAGGGCTTTTCCTGCTTAACTGATGAAAAAGAATAACACTTGAACTGCAGGCGATGAACTCAGAGACACAAGGTTTAATTAAATGGTTAATAAGTTCAAATGAAATGTCCTCCACTGTCAGACATTTCATGTGATATGTTACAGTCAGATTATGCATCTCCAGCCCTGTGGAGCCGTTTAATAATCACGACACACTGTAGAAGCAGGATCTGAATTCGGTAAGCCTGTGTCCTCACAATCAACAGGAAAACTAAAAACAGGTTTGAAATCTCCCCTCAAACACCTCATCTGAGTCAGTGTCTAAACACAGACTATGTTCCATCATCTGTGAACCAAAGACGTTAATCTGGCCGGCAGGCTGCTCCATCAGAGCAGGAGATTGTTGCCGTTTTACCACCAGCCCAAAAGCTTTCATTATACCTGTGTTTGTGGGGTTTTTCTGCTTCAATGTCAGGCAGAAGGTAGGATGAGAGGCAATCAACCAGGATACTATCCTGGGGGGGGGGGTAAAAAAAAGGAGAAGTTTTTATTGACGGTCTGCTTGTTGATTCTCTGTGAACAGCAGCTGGATTCCTGGCGCTGGCTCCTCCATTTCCTCCATGTGCCTCTCGCTCTGCAGAAATGCTGCCATATTCCCATTCCAGTTACCCGCGCAATCATCAGCATTTCTGCTTCCATGACATGAAAACAAACTAAGACTGAGTGCCTCCGCGTGTGTGTGCTCTCAAACCCCCCTGTCAGCAATCGCTGGGTGGGAGACAGCCATAAAGCGCCTTTCAGAAGCCTGTAATGGCCCACTGCAGCGCTGGCAAAACTTCTATCACATTATGCCTCTTCACATTCAGACACAAATAGGGCCATTATTTTTGATAACTATGCAGCAAGTGCCGGATAATTTCATTACATTACTTGCCACCGTATAATGCTGTATTTGTGTTAAACCTTCATAAATCTCGCCCTATCTGTTTTTTTATTATTGTATTTAATTACAGCACAGATCAAGTCGATAACTTAATGCGCAACAAATTATCGGAACATCAGGCCTGATCCATACGTACACGACCCTGTGAGAGAAAAGCACCACACTGACGGTCACTGAGAGGTCTCCGTGTCTTCCTCCCCGGACAACGTCCCGTCTGTCAGATATTTATGGCACGGCCTATAAAGTCCGACCCGTCTGATGGGGGGGGCAGCGCCCCCGTGTCAGCGGGCTAATAAAATGATGGACACTCACAAGTGTGAAAGTGGCAGCGTTTTATTATTAAGAAAGCAGATAATATTTCATAGGTGCCCGAGCCTCTAATAAACTGGGACTGTACAAAGAGGCCAGTTTTGAATAAAGTCTGATTTTAAAACTTTTATTTTCAATACCCTAATCTACGCCAGTCTCCTGAATAGATCAACCATTAAATTATTAGGAAACGCTGCTTCAAAAGTAACTTTTTACCCAAGCAAAGTTGTAAAATAACTACACAGGTTGGTATAATTGTTGAAACCAGATTAAGCATCTAATAAACTATGTTCATCCAGTATAAGGTAGTCACTTCCCAACCCGTCAGGACCCTTTGCTCTCATTTTAATCATTCCCTCTCCAAATTGATGTCCTCATTGTAGGTTTTTTTTCTTTTTTTTAATTGGCCTCTCATACGGTCTCCTCCACAATAAACTCGATAGCATGTTGGGGTGACTGACCCGTCTCCACCATGGTGATTTCAGTTTCATCCATAGTAATGGTTGGAACAGAGATGCCCTGAGCTCCCAGAACTGAGGAGGGAAGGATGACCACCTGTGATGCTCCGTCTATGCCGGTCAGCTGATCTGATGGGATCATGACCGTCTCCGTGCCTCCTTCCCCTCCCTGCAGCACATAAATTGTCTGTACGGCCCCAGTGTCCACCTCGGTGGCGGCTAAAGACGACAGCACCTTGGCCCCCTCCAGCACTTTCTGGACCTGGGCGGCCTCGGCCGCGTGCACAACCTGCTCGGCCGTTTCCGGGAGCAGGTCCCCGTGCAGCCGGAGGTGTTTGTCCAGGTTGGGGCGGGAGCGAAAGGCGGCGGAGCAGTGCGGGCAGGGGTAGGGCTTCTCGCCGCTGTGGGTGCGGGCGTGCTCTGTCAGACGGGCGGCCACGCTGAAGCTCTTGCCACAGATCCAGCAGCAGAACGGCCGCAGGCCCGAGTGGATCCGCTCGTGGTCCTGCAGATGGGGCAGCTGGCGGAAACGCTTCCCACAGGTGGCGCACTGGTGGAGGGATGGAGGAGAAGTGGACGAAAGGAAAGTCAGCACAATGTAAGAAGGCAAGCGAAACTCACATGACAGCCAGCACAATGGCTGAGGAACAATAAAAATGATCCATTATTCTGTCATTCACAGAGACATCCCCATGACTCGTGAATATAAAATTTAAATCTGAATGAAAATGTCCCGGAAGATGTTCAGATATACTCGCTTTCAGGCAAAACTAGCAAATATTTTCATCTGTGTGGCAGGAGCCAGATGATATTTGTCCATTTCTGCTTCGTCATTCTTGGCTGATTAATACTCGTTCAAATAATCAATTACTACCTAATTACTGCAGTACTACACGTGGGGAAAAGTGTATAATGAATTACACAGAATGATTACTTCTACAAGAAATGCTGCCCAAGAGCTGAAAGTTTAAGCCTTCTTATTTTTACTTATCACATTAGTCATAAAAAATTCAACAGCTGTACCTGCTCTGCCACACTAATATTCATTCTCACCTGAGAGCAGAATATCACCCACAAGGGACACTCAAACCGTAATATCTGTTGACAGATTTGCAATTCGAGCAGAGCTGAAAAATATTCTAATAGAATTATTTCTGCACCACGTGTAAAGCAAATACTTGTGCAGGAACATGGTGTGTATTCACTATGAATTCAAATGAATCCACTGAACTGACTTTGGGTGCTCTGTGAACCTCTGTCCTTCGCCTGCCAGATAGATAAATTCAAAGCAAAGCTGCAGAGATGAAATCATTTCCTAAAAGCTGGCGTGCTGAGATTTGCTTGGGCGGGTCTATAGTTGATGTCCGACCCCGTCACAAAAGCAGCAGAGAGAGAAGCAAAGAATCCCAGAATAGTAACAGGCACAGAGGGGAGCTGACAGGCCCTAAGTCAGCCCTGTCATTAATCACAGGTAGGCTGGGAGGGAGGAATCACCCCCAGGACACAAACGGCCATGGTCTGGAACCTGAGAGATGGTCATAACTGCGGGCTGCTATAGGCAGCACCGGATCTCTTTAGAAGGCGATAAAACCTCATAGTGAGGGCTGAGAGGATCTCATCTTTTTTTATGCAACCACACACATACAACGCCACTTCTTACCTCAAAGGGCCTCTCGTCGGTGTGTGTCCTCATGTGAACACTGAAGGTGGAATTATAGGCAAATTCTTTGAGGCAAATCTCGCAGCGGAAGCGGGGTCGGTTTTTGGACTTGGAAAGAGTTCCCTGGAAATGTGCCAGCACATGCTCCTCCAGGGCATTGTTGGAGGTAAATCTGCGGCGGCAGGGCCTCACTGGGCATTTGAGCGGCGTCTGGCCTGTGTGCGATAATCGATGGAGGTCCAGGCCCTCCTGGGTCATGCAACGGTGGCCGCAAAGGTCACACTCGATCTAGGGGCGCAGCCATGGCAGGAAGGAAGCAAAAAGGACAGCAGACGCACCAAGTGGTAATGAGATGGAGATCAGAAATGAAAGGAGCATCCACATGGTCAAACTGTGACGCAGTCACAACGTCAGCGTTTGAGTCCATCTGGAAACTGCCATTAGAGATAATGACCCCACGCTTCCTTAAACTCAAACTAAAATGTCTAAAGTACCGGACTAGAATTCATACTTTATCTATCTTTGATTTAAAAGAGAATATCCTGATTTCCTGTTCCCCACCTGTCCGGTGCAACGCCCGCGGCCCTGGCCGCGCCCCCGGCCCGTGTTCTTCTCCTCCTCCGTCGTCGGGCAGCGCTGCAGGTGGATTTCCAGGACTGACTGGTTGATGAACTGGGAGGAGCAGTGGGGGCATGTGGCTGGCTGCTTGTCTGCAATAGAAAAGTGTTAAATTTGAAACAGGTGGTCAGACTCTCAGACTGGAAGCCACTTTGTTATCATCCAACGGCCCATTTGAGTGTGGTGGTCATTAGAACCGTGTAGAACCATGGAGAAATGGCCAGTAATTGGCAGTTCCATTATTCACCTTTGTTTACTGGTTATTTAAAACATGGAAAGACAGGAAGGGTTAGGTTACATCCCATCAGATGTAAAGCATGATCTTGTATCGGACGAGCGCTGAAACATCTGTTTAATCAATCAGCTAATCACTTTTCTGTGCATTTTTGTGTCTGACTGGTTGCATCTTAATGGTACATCATCATTTGAGGCTCTAAAATAATATTTCTAACAGTGAATGGCTTCATACGTGAACAAATTTTGTGTTGTTTTACATAATCGGCAAAAGCAGTTCCGGTTTATAGATTCTTTTTTTTTTTTTTTTTACACTGACAATTCATCAACTAATTGATTCATCTCTATACAGCTGGTGCCCCAGTTACATTTTGGCAGAGCAAACCAAACTCTCGCTTTCTGGCTGGGAAAGTGCTGACACTGAGAGTTCATCAGTATGTCCAAAGGCCATCATGCCAATATCTCGCAATCTGCTAACCATCTGGACTGTGTATCCTCTTGGAGTGATCGACTCAGCTCCCCGTTGGGACTGTCTAATTAAACCTTTAATAAGGACAAACTCAGCCTATAGCCCTGGCCTGATCAACAGATCAATATTTCCTATCATCTTCTCGGCAGACGCGCGTACCTCTGACCTCTGCAGCGCGCCCGCTCCGCACGCCAAACTAATGAGGTTACCGTGCTAACACCCACATGATTACGATGAAGTGTCAACATGTTGACCCAGTTCAGTTACCACCACCTTCCGCCTCCGTCTTATGGCGCACAAATCAATTGCGAGTCTGTGACCGAACGCGTCACAGGAACACTGTACATGTACTGTGCATGCGTAGAAACTTAAGCCACCCAGGAAAGGAAAGCCCATGGAAACATTGCTTGAGACACAACAGTTTCTTAAAAGAAAATGTGACCAAAATAAACAAAAACACATTTCAGTTCAGATGACTGACACCATTTCAGCTAACCAGAAAAAGGTTGATACGCGTCTCACCTTGGTGTGTGAGCGAATGCAGGTCCAGGTCTTTCCTGCGTTTAAACGCCTCTCCACACTCAGGGCAAGGGAAAGGGTGGCTGGTGTGGAGCAATCTGTTCAAACACACAAGTTGTTGAGGGCTCAAACGATCTTGTAACAAATACCAATGAGTTCAATTTCTTACAGAATGTAGATTTACCTTTAAAAAGCAAAAGTATAGGTAAAATTAAAAAAATATATAAAAGAACCCTACTTCAGAGACTTTCAAAAACCTGTAATATATTCATGTCTTGGTTTTTACCACCACTTTAAAATCGTAGGAGGATTACCAGTGGTGTGTGCTTAGGTGTACTCCATCTCAAATAAGGGGTATTAGCAGAGTGTATAACGGCAGAACATAAAAGAACAGCAGTAAACTGGGAGGAGTCAGGGTTAGGACATGAAAGACTATATTTATCCATTGCATAACTATACTGTGTGTATAGCCTTAGGGGAGGAGAAAAGTGTTAGGTTCTATTCACCTAACGCAGCATCAATGCTCTGCTCACAGCGTGGACAGCAAGAAAGAGGGAAAAAGCTGCTACTTGAGCAATTTATTATAATCACAGCGAGCATGGAGGATTCTTGAGTTTATAAAACAATGGCCTCCAACACATATCGCACGTGCGCCTATAGGCGTCACCGTGTGCCGCATGACATCCTGCTGCAGTGGCATCCCAACCTCACACTGAAAAGTAGAGCAAGGTTGAAATGCGTGATGTGTACCAGTCCTTTCATGGCCCGCATAATGCCAGAGCGCTTCTGTAATCAGTTAAAAACACGACTAATCAATAGCGGGACAGGTAAACCTGAGCTGCAGCTGGGAGAGTTGCAGCTTCAGGGGGCCAACTCTCCCCCAGACTCTCTTCCATGAGCAGCTGAGACACCAGAGCACGTAAACGCTGATTAACTGATCCATCATTTCGATAATCACACAGTCATTTGAGTCATTTGAAATGCAAATGAAAATCAATTGCAGGCTGGAAATGTGAAGATGCTACTTCATCTTTGACAACAGGAGACTGAATACTGGGCAGGACGATTAACCTCATTTGATTTCCAGATACATTTTTTGCCCTCCGATGATTATGAACACATAATGATGAAAACATTAGTCTGCAGTATTCCGTTTCCAGATTAAGGTTGTTTTGACCTTAATCCCCACTTTCCTTTTAAGCCATGCACTTTCTTCCCTTAAGATGACATATCAGAGATACTTAACACTGGAACATTCTTCACCTGGAGAGTGTCTTTAAAGAGGAAGCAAGCACTTAAAAAAGCCTGGATGGTGACTAGATGAACCATCTGTTTCACTCTTATAAGTATAAAAAAAAAACTTGCTGCTCCTAATCAGATCAATGGAGTGGAGCTGGTTGATAAAATTACACATCTGCCAAAGCCAGGAAGGAGAAGAAATCATCTTTCCACCTAAAATAACCTTAATTATCTATGAGATATATCTGATGTGAAAAGCATCTATAATATCCTCTTAAGAAGCCATCTGGTTATTTAAAATAACCCATACCTCCTGTGATCAGTCTCAAAGGGGTAAAAAGAAACATTTGAGTCTGGAAAGATCGGTTCTTTAGCTTTTAGATCTATAATTTGTATGATTGAAGCTGCCCCAAAAGGCAAGTCGACACTCCTTTAAAGGGTCAAACTTCAGCCCCACTTGTTAAGTTCAAGCCAAGATAGGGAAAGAGAGTCTTTGAACTTCAGAATCTATAAAGTCCTAATGAGGTTTTCAAAGAAATACCTGCATCACAGAGGGCAGTGTGCTCGCCTTTGTCTCCAGATTGCTCTTTGGCTCTGCTGCTTTTGGAAGTAGGTATCAAGGCAATGAAACTGACCACTGAAGGAGCTGAATCATCTTTGGGTAGCCACATCTAAAAGCTTTTTAAAGCCTGTGAGAATCATTTGAACTCTTTTTGCCTGATTTGCTGTATTTGAACAATTTAAGATGTCAGGTGTGTGCACAGCACTGCATAGCAACCACTTTTATGATTTAAGAATACTTGATTTAAGACATCACACTGACAAAAATGTGCTTAGACTTAATGTTGTAGAATCCACATCCTCAAAAACGTAATCTTGCTACAATAAAAAAGGATTCCAACTGTTAAATAAGGGCATCAGTTCATCTAGCCCGCTATAAATTCTCATCAATTCACTGCAGTTGAGATCTTCTCTGCTAAGTCTTGTGGAACAGGACCGGATTTGACCATCTTCCCAGGTACTTATCATTATCATCTTAATTTACTGGGCTACTGTCTGTCAATCATATGTGGCTTAAGGGCACCCAGGCGTGTCTGTGTGTTTGTTACACAGCTTAAATGTCTTACTCAACAGTCAGCGCTCCAACAGCCGCCAGCGAGAGGGAGAGAGGTTATCTAAATCCCATACTGCGCTCTTTAATTCCAATTCATTTATGTGGTCATCTGAGTTAGAGAATGATTGAATACTGACAACCGCCTGACAAGTTGAAGCAAAATCCACCAAGAGCTGCGGGTGCAAAATGCTAAAAAGTAAAAATGCGGGGGGAGAATTATTACTTGTGATGGTTCAGCTGATCCTCAGTGTTGAACCGTGAAGGACAGTTGGGACAGGCAAAGAGATGAGCTGCTCCCTCGCTGTCCAGAGCACACATCTGCAACGAGGGACACAACAGTCAGGCCAAATCTGAGATCATTCCCAGCCTATTTCAATAGGAGAGGTAAATGTACTGTCTAAAAACTGAGGACTTCAGCCTTCAATTAAACAAACACTTTGCTAAAGAGACACAGTGGACGTCCTACCGGTTTGCGTCCACGTTTGCGCCGAGGTTGCATCGACGTGTGAATGAGCTGGTGCCTCTTCAGGGTGGCCGCCTGGGAGAAGTTTTTGCCACAAATGTCGCAGCAGAAGGGCTTGTTTCCCGTGTGGCTCATGCTGTGGCGCAGCAGGCTCTGGGAATTGGTGAACGACTTTGTGCACACCTTCACGACGACAATCAGAATTAAGGCACTTTTTTTAGTCAGTCAGGTTTTCTCACACATGCACACAAACACTCTGCTCTAAACAGACAAAAGATATTTGACATGTTGATGTTTGTCATCCTCTCAAAGAGGCTGTCATCTATCTGTGTCATAAATAACCTGTCACTTGCCCACAGATACTAAAAGTACAAGCACAATTGGTCACACATATTTTCAATTTTGACTGTGGAAAGCCAACAGAGAAGCTGATGAATCTAATGAGGCTGGAGGTTCAAACAATGTCAGCCTCAGCTTCGAAGCATTGCATCACCCTATAAAAGTCATCAGCACAACATGAATGATCTGCACATGAAAGCACATCATCCCTCTGACTGAGGAAAAGGGCGCTGATTATGTTTCTGACAGGCACCTTGCAGGTGAAAAGCTTTTCTCCGGTGTGGCTGTAGACGTGCGTGCGCAGGAAGACGCGGCGGGTGAAGGTTTTGCCGCAGTAGGGACAAACGTGGGGCAGAGGTGTTCGGGCCCAGTCCTGCAACAGCTTGGCAGGTGGAGGGTGATTGGTGTTGTCCAAGTCTGCTGCTGTGCCTCCCTCCAACTCTTCTTTGACACCTGAACCTTTGGTTCCTGAGCACATCAAAACTGGTGTTATCAGCAAAAGCTTCCATTTGTTTAAAGATATTTTTTTTATGAATAAAAACTAAATAATTTGCCTACCTTTTAGTGCATTAGCACTCAGGATCCTGAAAGAAGGCCTGCTCCTTTTAAGAGGAGAACCGCATTCAGCAGTGGGGGACAGCAGCCGCTTCTTCCTCTGTGGGCTGTCCTCGGGTTTACTGGCTGCCGTTTCGTCACCAGTTTCAACCTCACCTTCCAACTCTGTTGTTGCTGTGACACGGTGCAGACGCCAGTGGTACAGGTACTGAGTGGTGTTCATGAAGCTGTCCCCACAGTGGAAGCAGCTGTGCAGGGGCTCGCTGAGGCCGTGCTTCTCCTTGCGATGAGTGACCAGCCCCCCTTCCTCGCTGAAGCTCTGCCCACACTGGGTGCAGAAGAACAGGTCCGGCTGACTGAACACGGGGGTCAGGCTGCTGGTTGAAGGATCGGCGTTGTGATCGGTGGTCCCGTTGCTCTGGACACAGACCTCATCTGATGTCATTTCGGGAACGACCAGCACTTTTTCCTCGCCCTTCTGGCGGTGCTGCTTGCGATGATAGAGGAAGAGTGTGGTATTCAGGAAGCTTTCTCCACACACGGAGCAGCGGTGCAGAGCCTCCTCAAAGCCGTGTTGGGTCTTGCGGTGGGCCACGAGCTCCGACACCAAGCCAAAGCACGAGCCGCAGTCCACGCACAGAAGCACTGGCTCAGGCTTGGGCTTTTTGTTAGCCCCTCTCCTCCTCGGAGAGGAATCATCGGCATTAGAGGCTGAAGTGGCTGTGTCAGCAACAAGACCATCAGGGCCTTGAGACACAATGGTCTGTATTATCTCCTCTTCCTCCTCCTCATGGTTACCTACAGGCGTATGCTCGAGTTCAAAACTCCTGCCACTTTCGATCTGTGACAAAGAAGACTCTTCCTGGTCTAAGGATGCTGCTGGACTCTGAGCTGAGGAGGTCTCTGCTGGGACATGCAACTCTGCCTCCGCTATGCCCTCAGAGGCTTCCTGCTGGCACCCTCCTTCTTTGCGGTGTTGCTGCCATAGGTCCAGACTCTTGAAAAGCTCATCACAATCTCCGCACTGGTAAAGGATTCGGGGCTTGTCCGCAGATTGGCTTTCAGCCTCTGAGATCTGACTGAGTTCGGTCGTGATTTGCTCCAGAGAGGGATGACCCTCCTGGACTTCAGCCTGTGGAACTGTCACCGCCCTGGAAATATTTATCACATGCTGCTGTGAAAGAAATCAGGACAAAAAGACAAAAAGTCATTTTCAGTGTTTTTTGGCATTTTTCACCTTCTCATGTAACAATAAAGTGACCCCTTGAGACTTTGCATCAAAGAGCGATTTCAAGTAAATTCAACCAATGGTGTTTTTATTTATTCATTTTTGGTGATTTATATTTTTCTTTCTTGCAAGTGAGAGAGGAGAAGTGGGGATCAATTAGAGCAGCGTGAGTTAAGAGCCAAGGTTCTTCTGAGAGCTGCAGCCAAGATAAGGCCTCAACCTGGCTGATAACTATCAGATTCATCAGAGTTAAATGGGTCACTCCACAGGGTTTTACATAGGTTGCCTCCGTCCATTTGGATGATAAAAAGAGACCATCAAGGTTAAGGTTGAGGGAATCAGGAGCTTCTTCAACTGCAGCAGTTCAGCATGGTTAACACACTGTGGGTGTGTGGTCTGCTTGTTTGTGGATGGAAAATACACATTTAATTACCATGAATTTTATTCTTGGATGAATGCAGAGTGCATACCGGAATAAATTAAGCTGCAGCAACTGTCACCGGTTTATATTTAATGGTTTATATGTGGTGCTTTTCATAAAATCTGCATGTCATTTATCCCTTTGACAAATATCCATTAGTTGACAAATCAAATATTATTTGTGTTTGGGAGGTTCTTTGTAGCGCAGTTCAGAAGAGCTTTGGCTCTGGATGTAATCGGAAGGCCATTCCTCCCATTTTATTAGCAGCTTTGCTCTAATTCAAGGAGCAAAATCGGGAGCAAAGGAATGCAAAAGCAAAGTTAAATTTCATCTCCCTCTTTCGCTGTCCAAAATTACAAATACACTATTCATCACATCCTGCCTGAACTGTTTTTTGAATGGGCATTTCATCATGTCTGGCTATAAGAATAAAGTCATATCAAATGCAGATATTTGGTTAAAATATTTTACAAAGATTCTGTAAGATTTTCAAGTATCTCAGAACCATCTTTGAGATATCCAGTTTGTACATCATACATTATAATTCAAATAAATCTCTGCAGAAATCCAAACCAAGGAGGCATTTCTCCTTCAATTTCAGTCTAATAGAGTGTAATTCTGTTTGACTGACTGTCTTTCTGTGTCCATCATTGTCATCTGTAAAGGAAAACAGAGTCAACGTCCATCTACATGACGTCTTGTATTATGAGACTTTTGAGGATTTCTGTCTTTTTCTAAGCATCTCACATGCAGATGAAGTTAATCTTTTGTTCAACCGCGCAGGCGAAAGACATGAACTGAAGGGACATAATTCCATGTGTGCCTTATTCCATAAAAGCTACAATTTATGCAACAAACTAATTTAAGTGACCTTAATGGTTCTCTTCTCTGACTCCAGCAGACACACTGGCAACATCACCGGACAGAGCATAAAAAACCCCAAAACAATTGACCCCACAATATCATTTTGTTCTCAATTAAACTATAACAAAAAATAAAAAAAACATCTGTAAGAAGTATTGTTATAAAAGGGAGCTTTGTCTCATTCAAGGTTTCCCCAAAGGAGCCACAGGGAAAAGAACAGAAAGGCTGGAAACTGAAAACTTTACAGAACAGTAATAACAAGAGTGCTTAAAACATAAAACATAACCAAGTAGTGTACTTATAGTCCTATGACTGATAAAGGTTGAATTTATCAGGAAATTAGAAAAAAAATTAATGGATATTTACCAGGTCTTAAATTGATGCGATCAATAAAAATGTGGTATATTACCCGGAGTCATTATCTATCTAACAAAAACCAAACCAAAATGCAGCATTTTCCTCCTCGTAACACCCTAAACGCCTCCACCCTGAAACCAAACACTTGGACCAGTCTTTTGTCACTCAGTAAGCTTTTCACACTGCAAGAAAAACCCAGAGGCCATTCTACCTTACAAGTCTGAAGTGTTAACATAGATTTAACAGCAAAGTGCCTCCATATAATGTCACAATTTCTCACAAAGAAAGTTTTAAGTGACTTGACAGCATAACCTCATTCTCAAACTATTAAAGAAAAAGTACAGTTTCACAGATTGTCACTAGGCCGATCACATCCCAAACCAGCTGGAGGCATGGGTGCATATTAGCAACATTAAAGTTATTATTTTGGGGACTTCCGGAAGCAAATGGAGTAGACGGTGGGTCAGAGCCTCTCTCCCACCTTAATTTCAAAATACTCCGTTCAAAACTCGTTAATCTGCTCACTATTTGGATAAAATAATTTATGAACGGAAGGAGAAACATGTCGAGCTATAAAAAATCGACAAAAATGCCCAAAACTCAGGATAAAAGTGCCCAAGTAGCTCAGACTAACACATGTCTGAAGCAAACTAACGACAACGTGGCTAGCTCGGAAGCTGAGAGCCCTGGAACGAACATGGACTCGGAGGGAATAATTAAGGCTATCGATGATTTGAAGACTGCTTTAAAGGGTGATAATGCAAAGCTGCAACAAAATATTGACCATCTGGGACATGAGATCAACGGTAAGCTGGACAATATTGCTACTGAGGTCCAGGGCCTGACAGAACGGGTTGACGAGGCGGAGACCCGTGTTCATCAGGTGGAGACCTGGGCAAAGGAGGCAACCGAGGCGCTGTGCATGTGCATCGAACAACAGAGGAAAACACAGCTTAAGGTGCTTGATTTAGAATCTCGCTCCAGAAGAAACAACGTCCGTATATTTGGGGTACCAGAGGGAAAGGAGGGGAACTCAACTCCACAGTATATCGAGACGTTTCTGAGAAGCCAGCTACAACTACCGGAGGACCTGGACCTGAACATACAGCGCGCACATCGTACTCTGGCAACTAAACCCCCACCCGACGCACCACCGAGGGCGATTATTGTCAACTTTCTGGAATTTTCCACAAAGGAAAAGATCTTAAGAGAAATGTGGAAAAAAGGCAAGATCCAGGTGGGCTCTTCTATTATTCACTTCGACCACGATTATGCACCTGAGATAGTGAAGAAGCGCAGAGAATATAACGTTATCAAGAAAGCGCTCAAAGCGAAAGGCGTTCGCTTTCAAACACCGTTTACCAACATGAGGATCCACTGGGAGTCAGGAACTCGCACATATTCCAGCGCACGGGAAGCCTACAACGAGCTGAAGAGACGCGGAATCCAGTCGGAGGAGCCGGTGACAGCTGACGGGGGGTCCGGAGCAGAGGCGAGTCTCCGGGCGCTGCTGGGCTGGCAGCCGGTGGAGAGCAGCGGCGCGGCGGTCGCGCTGAGAGCCAAGAACAAACTGCAGGATTTCCAGCGGAGCATGGCCGAGTGAAAATAGGCAGAATAACATAACGCAACATTATTTTTACTGGGCTCTGATATACTATTTGGTGGGAGAGGACACTGTTTTTTTTTCTACGTTGGACTAATAGGATGGACGTGTTTTTTCCTAAAGGCGCTTTTACTGTCCTTTTTGGGCCCTCTCAGTTCGAGAGGTTTAACCCTCGACTTGCCAACGGGGTCACGAGTGAGAAGAGGGAGCTTCTCCTCACCTTGGAAGTCAGTTTGTTACTGTTCTGTTTTGTTATTGTTCGTGTTCTGGATCCAGGGGCCAAATCAGTCAAGGTATTTCTATACATTACTGTCATATAACTTAAAAGTTGCTTCCTTGAATGTAAACGGTTTGAATAGTCCAGTGAAGAGAAAAAGGGCCTTAGCTAAATTGAAGAAAGATGGGATACAAATCGCTCTTTTACAAGAGACGCACATGTCTAAACAAGAACATGACAAGTTTAAGTCATTTGGTTACCTGAACTCGTTTTATAGCTCCTGTAGAAATAGTAGAAAGAGGGGTGTGATCACCCTAATTTCTAATTCATTGAACTTTGAATTGATTTCTGAGAAGGGAGATAAAGAGGGCAGATTTGTTATAATAAAGGGGAGAATTGATGATGTTGTAGTCACAATAGCTAATATATATGTACCGCCAGAGAGCGACAGGACTTTCTTGAAAACGTTCTTTGATACCATTATCTCATTTAGTGAAGGAGTTCTTATTTGTGCCGGAGACTGGAACACAATCCCTAATTATGTCCTAGATACAACAAGCCATAAGAAACAAAAAACGGGTCGGTCAAAAGATCTAAATGTCCTGATCAGGGAGATGGGACTGTTTGATGTTTGGAGGGCTCTTCATATTAAAGAAAGAGACTTTACTCATTACTCTGCTACCCACAAAGTCCACTCCAGGATAGACCTGTTTTTGATGAATACCATTGATAGATCTAAAGTGAAGGAATGCGTAATTGGAACATCGGATATTTCAGACCACAACATTATCTATCTGACCATCAGTTTATCTAATAGGCCTAAAACAACATTATGGCGCCTAAATATAGGCATTCTTAATAATGAAACCACAACGAAGGAGATTAGAAAAGAAATAACGGAGTGTGTAAAAGACAATAATAATGGGCAGGTAAACCCCACCTTGGTTTGGGACACTGTCAAGGCAGTAATGAGAGGGAGACTAATTTCTAGAACTGCTTATCTGAAAAAAATAAAAAGGTTAAAATATGACGAATTGGAAAAAACATTGAGGAAATTAGAATTAAAACAGCAAATGACTAAAAATGGAGGATTTTCAGAACAAATAACAAAAACCAAAAATAAAATAAATGATATGATACTTGAGGAACTTGAGGAAAAACTACGATTCTGCAAACAAACATTTTATGAATCAGGCCCAAAAGCTACACGGATCTTAGCTAGACAACTTCGTAAACACCATTTGAAGCATTCGATTACCAAAATTAGAGAATCCTCAACTGGTAACTTAACCTATGACATGGATAAAATACACAAGACCTTTGAAAATTACTTTAAAACACTATATTCTGATCCAGGACCAGTTAACGTAACTGCTATTGACGATTATCTGGCAGCTTTGGATCTACCTTCACTTGGTCTAATCCAAAACAAAACTCTATCTGCACCCATTACGCAGAAAGAATTAGATACAGTTATTGGACAATTGAAAAGTAATAAGTGCCCAGGTAGCGATGGATTTTCAAATGAATGGTACAAGACATTCAGGAAGGAGCTTTCTCCTGTCCTGCTTGAATCTTTGAACTGGACATTGTGCAGGGCTGAGATCCCACCATCTTGGAGAGAGGCTGTAATATCTGTCCTGCCTAAAGAAGGGAAAAATGTTGAATACTGCGAATCATATCGCCCAATCTCAATTCTTAATGTCGATTATAAAATTTTTACATCAATAATCTCTAGGAGAATGGAGTATTACTTGTTAGACCTAATACATGAAGACCAGACGGGATTCATCAAAGGCCGACAAACTCATGACAGCATAAGACGAACATTACATATCCTAGACCAAACCAAAAAGCAGGGCCTCAGCGCTGCATTAATTAGTCTAGACGCAGAGAAGGCCTTTGATCGGGTCAACTGGACCTTTCTATATAAGGTACTAGAACACCTGGGCTTTAATAACCAGTTTATTAGGTGCCTGCGGTCACTTTACGATGAACCACAGGCCAGGGTCAAAATCAATGGGCACCTAACAAACAGCTTCCAACTACACAGAGGAACCCGTCAGGGATGTTGTCTAAGCCCATCGCTTTTTGCAATATTCATTGAACCCTTGGCACAGGCTATTAGAGAGGATAATGGAATAAAGGGAATTAACTTTGCAAATAAAGAACACAAAATTGCCCTTTTCGCAGATGATGTAATCACATACCTCCAAAACCCAGATATAACACTCCCTAAGGTTATGTCAGCTCTAACTGAGTTTGGTCAACTGTCGGGCTACAGTCTAAACATCACAAAAACACAGGTCCTGGCAATTAACTACTCCCCTAGTAAATCTATAAGAAAGAACTATGGACTTAAGTGGGATGCCAAAAAGCTAAAATACCTGGGAGTATTTGTTTCTCAAGATTTGCATGAGCTATTTACTTTGAACTTTGATAACCTTACTGAAAACATACAAAAAGACTTGTCAGCCTGGTCAAGGTTATTGTTGGACTTCACAGCTAGAATGGAAATAGTGAAGATGAATCTGCTTCCTAGATTTTTATACCTTTTCATGTCATTGCCTATTAGAATATCTAGCGCACAGTTCCATGCTTGGGACAGGTTGATCTCCAGATTTATTTGGTCCGGGACCAGACCAAGAATAAAATTTAAAATACTCCAAATTAATAGGGACCAGGGGGGTCTGGCCCTTCCAAATTTGAGGGAATACTATTATGCATCGCAGATGAGATTCATGGTCTGCTGGTGCTCCCCAGAAATGGAGGCCGGATGGAAACAGATAGAACTAAGGCAGGGTGGGGCCCAACCCCAAACACGTCTGGGAGGTAAAATAGTTACAGACAAAAATGGGAATGGTATAGTTGAAGACACATTGTTAATTTGGAAGGAAGTGGTTGATAGATACAGATTGGCGGATGTCACTGGACTCCTGATGTGGCCCTCCTGTAACTCAAACTTTCGGCCAGGAGAAATTGATTCTTCTTTTTCAGGCTGGAAAGATAGAGGACTCGTGGCTTTGTGTCAGTTCGTAGAAGGTAACACCTTTAAAACATTTGAGCAACTGAAAAGGGATTATAATCTTGAGAACCGAGACTTATTTAAATATTTTCAGGTAAGACATTTTTACAACACAAAAATAAAAAAAGGTGTGCCTCCAGAAGGTAACACTATTGTGAACATTTTTACGAAAGCTTATTCTCACCTCCCTAGTAAAATTGTTTCCAAACTATATAAAGGGTTGCAGAAACATAACGGAAATAACACCATGAACATTAAGTCTAAATGGGAAAGAGAATTGGGAGTAATAATTACAGACGATGATTGGCTCTCAATGTGTGAGACACAACAGACATCTACTAGTTCCAAAAGATGGAGGGAATTCGGATGGAAGTGCTTAATCAGATACTTTATTACGCCTCAAATTACTAGTAGACATAGAGGAAAAGAACAGCAATGTTGGAGACAATGTGGCCATCAGAACGCCAATCACTCTCATATATTTTGGTCCTGCCCAAAGTTGGCAACTTATTGGGATGGAATCTGTCAGACTACAGGGAGAATTTTGGGATATGTCATCCCCAAGGACCCTAGAATTTTTCTGCTGGGGTTGATGTCTGAAAAAGTGCTTCAAAAAGAAGATCAGTACCTTTTTAAAGTTCTGTCAATTGCAAGCAAAAAAGCAATTACAAGGTCTTGGCTAAAGAATCTCCCACCCCAGCTGGGCCACTGGCGAGATGTCATGGAGGAGATTCACTCTATGGAAAAACTGACATATCTTTTACGTATGAAAGGACATTCTTACAACAAACGCTGGTCTAAATGGCTAACGTACAAGAACAAGGAAGCATAGGTGTATCATCTTGTAATGTATTATTTTGTTTCTGTATTTCTACTTATCTAAGTATCAGTGCCCCAAGTTCTGTGTGTGTTGTATGTTTTATTGAAATGAAAAATGTTAAATAAAGAGTATAAAAAAAAAAAAAAAAGTTATTATTTTGAACAGACATTTTTGCTGAGCGAGGAAACAGAATGTGATCACTGACCACTCGACCAACATTCAGATTCATAAAAGCTTAGGTTTCAGTAGCATAAAAAAAGATAAATACAAAACAATGATTACCTTGGATGAACAAAACTGACTAACTATATTTTGCAAATGGCTTCAGTAAACATTCAGACTTGATTTACTGCAAATCAAACATGCCGTGATTGAGTAGTGTGTCAAAGTTCAGTTTGTTTGTTACTGTGAAGGTCATGGAGCTTCGATGGAGCCTGCTCACAGCTTATGTTTTGCTGCAGGATACAAAAACATGACAACATAAAAATAGCAGAAGATATGTCAGGCTGAGCGGCGGCTCCCAAAACAGACCATCCTCATTAGTCAGACAAACAGGAAGCTGCTGGTCCTATAACACAGACTGAGCAGCACCACTCTACCAAGTAAGCTGCATGAACTGTGTCCATCAACAGCGAACCTGGTTGCTGTTCACTGGAAAAGATTGTGTTTAAAAAGAGTACTCACTGAGAAAAATGTCCACATGGTCGCTGCATCAGACCAGAGAAGCTTACAACTATTGGCACTAAAGGCTAAAACGACAAACCAACGGCGAAAATAAGCAGCCAGAGGAGACCCCCGTTCTCCCTCCCTCACACCCACAAGAACAACAACTGTGCTTTACCAAGCTGAGATGGACTGTGACACACAACATACACATGTGCTACAGCACACCCTGCTATGTTCAGAATGGAGCCCATAAATGATTCAGAAGGGAAAAC